CAGATTTTATTCGTTTCATGCGCCCTAATAGGGGAGTACATGTAGACACTGAGACGTTTACTGCACAGTTGATTAGGCAACTGCTTAGTAAACATCTAGTGTAGATGCAGTCCTGTGTGTGACAGCCGCCCCTGGTTCCCAGCCACTTTGTTAAGCCTCTGGATTAAACCCTGCCCTTTCCCCCAGCTAGTGCAGGGTAGTGGGTCATGCAACATGGTACACTGGGAGAAACCAGTTTCTTCATGATGTCTCTAATCAGCTGCACCCTGAATTCTCAGGTGTGGTTTGCCTTATTTGCTCTAATAACTCCTACACCTGATAAAGTGTACCAGAAGTTATCCAGTCTCACCACTACAAGCAGTGCCGATTAAGCTATTCCTTATATTATTTATAAGCACAGAAACTGTTGATGAAGCTTCCTGACTAGGCAGATGAAGATAAATAAGTATGAACTAAGAAACGAAGGGGTTGGGATGGAGGATAGATGGGTTTACATTGCTGGTAGGCTTCCAAGAGTGCGTGCTATTCTTTCTAGCGGACACTTTGGGGTTTCTGCTTCTTGACTCACAAAGTGAGCTCTGATTTATAACCCAACATATGCTATTAGAATAATTTTTTGTAATCATTATTACTGATGTTTGTACTCCACTTGCCTGCTTCATTCAGTAATGCAGAAGATGGTTGTTTTTGATAGAAGCTGACGAAGATGAAAAATATATTGATTTCAAAGTAGTTGGCGTTTAGACAGTTAATTTACTTGGTATTGATCAGTTGTGCTAAATGTGGACACCCAAGACCAAGACAGTGATGCTTGTTGCTGTATTTAAACAAATGGACACAGAAGAAAGTATATTAAAAAGCATTTGGCCTATGCGAGGACCCGCGAGGCATTGCTTTAATGCACTCGGCTTTGCTCCTGCAAACATTTACTCATGTGCTTAAGTTGGAGAGAGTGACTGGTAAATGCTTGCAGAATCAGGGCCTAGCTTTGTATCTCTGCGCCTGGAAAGAGCTTTCTTCCAGCTTCATGAGGTGGTGGCTCCTGGTAACACGAAAAGGAGCTTCAGGATTCAGAGATCTGAGGATGATCAGGATGAGCAGTATACATCTAACCTTTATTCTTTGCCTCCTGTGCCACAAAGATTCAGGAAGCAGCAGGTGACTGCTGAGCCGAGTACAGACTACATTTAACGTGTTTGCAATGGTGAAGGTGAATTTTGCTTTAATTGTCCAACAGATCCACTTCACTCACGCTCACAACCCTTTTGTACTTGGCTTTCACAAGTGACTGAGTTGCACTGGTGCAAATCACTGGAGAATACTAATTTCAGAATTGCATCTTCAGTTGGGTGTACTATATCTGGCTTTATTCAATGCTAAAAGTACCTCCAATTCATGAGAATGAAATGTACCCCAAAAGTTAAGTAAAAGCGTTGTATGATGGAGCTCTGAATGCAGTCAATGGGCTCCAGAAAATGAAGAAAAAAGCTAAAAACCATCAGCCTTAATGTCTGATACATGAAAACTGCTCCCTAAAAATGTCCTGTGATATTCTGATTGCTTCCTGAAAACTAGTGATTATGCTCAGCTGTTCCTTTTCTAAAAGCAATGCTCCGTGCCTCCTAAATTCTCAAAGGCCCAAGTCGCATCACAGCAAAGATGTAAAACTGTATGGGTAATGAAACTGCCAGTTCAAATTGTGCCAAGGCAGAGGGATCCTTTGGTTAACCTCCTTCAGGGAACAGAGTAGTTTTGTACCATGGTACAACGTAGTCCATAGTCTGTAGGTTACTCATCTGGCGTATTATACAAACTCCAAGACAAAAAGATCACTATATGATAATCCCATTTTGTTTTCTCTGCCTCCGTGTTGCGTTTTGTACAGCAAGAGTAATGCCTGCTGATGAAATGGAGAGAGCTGAAAAATGAAAACTGCTGCAGTGCTGATCTGTGCCGAATGCTGTTTTCTACAAATTAGGGTCAGCTACATGTGTAGACTGGTTCCTTTTTTTTTCCTTCTAGGGACAGCTAATTTCCTTATCCCAGAGGGAGGCACAGGGCAGTGAGAAAAGTGATATATGATGTAAAGGGAAAAAATTGTTTCTTTAAGGCCCTTTAATGAGTAACTTGGGGGAAAAAATGTAGATTGCTATCTCGAATGTTGAAGCAATGTTATTGAATTTCAGAGCTCTATAGATCACGAGCGACGCTTGCACAAAGGATTGTACAGTGAAGATTTCCAACGCATTTGCAAACTGAATGCTGCAGCCTGCACCAAAACCCACATAAATAGAAAACAGGTCTAATGGAAAGTTGGTTTTAACCTTCATCTGGCTTTGGATCAAGCCTTTGTTTAAACCAGTGGTACCATTTGCAGACTAGGCTAATACTTCCTGGGTGCGTCTACATAAGCAGAGCTCTGCAGTAATTAGCCCTGCAGTAAAGTCTCTGCGTCTACATGTGTGGCCCTATTAGGCCGCAGTAAACTAATAGGGTGTGTCCAGATGGTTCTGGGAACAGTGCATCCTGGGATGCTGGAGAACAGCATATTGCTCATTTTATCTCAGTGGAGCAGCCTGAAGTTATCCAAACACAAGCTAGGTAGCCCAGCCCACAGTTAACCCGTGCCTGAAGTGGTACAGCTTTGAGATGCTCAGAGTTAATGAGTGCTGCAGCTGAGCATAAGCATGCAGATGCTCATGTTTTAAATGCCTTTAGTGTGATCTAAGTCTAAAATGTAACTTCATCCCAAAGGTCACTGAAACCATGAGTGCACTGGATCCAGCAAAACAGGCTTCCCACGTAACAGTGTGGCCACAGGTCTGGTGGTTGCAAAAATACAGTAAGATGCGATACAAATGTGCATTGCTACCCACTGTGGGCCCCTGAAGTTAATGAGCCTGACTGATCTTGCTTAGGCCTGGGTGAAATGTCTGTATGCTGCTTGACCTAAGAACTCTCCCTTGGCTAAATAAATGTGAGTTAAAACAAAGCAGCCTTTAAAAGTGAACATGCAACCTTCAGATATAAATATGGCCAGTGCTTTCAACAGGAAGTGGAAGATCCTTGTGTTTACTTTGAGCTGTCTGCCCTGTTGTTCTCCTTTTCATCCCCGTCCCGTGGTATTTGCACGGAGGAGCATTCACATTTGGGAGTAGAACTTGGAAGATGTGGCCAGTGCTTTGCCCTCCGAGTCCTGTTGCAACATAATCTTTTGAGCAATAGCGTCTGCAGTGAAATCTTTTGTCCCTTTGATGATCAACGTGTATGTAAAGAAATCCTCAACCAAGGAATTACTTTCTGCCCATCTGCACAATTTTTTTCGAGGACAGAAGCATTAGCAGAGGGTGTAATTGCAAGAACCAGTTGTATTGAAGTACATCCCTTCTCTTTGCAGGTGCTGGGCTGGATTCGGAACGGGGAGTCGATGCTCAATGCCAGCCTCGTCAATGCAAGCTCCCTCTCAGAAGCTGAGCAGCTCCAGCGAGAACATGAGCAATTCCAGCTGGCCATAGAGGTAACACCCATGGAGCAAACTTTTTTCTTTCCCAGAAAAACCATGTAGATGGGGACTTCTGCTCAGCCATAAGTCAAACCACTGTGAGCTTAAAGAAGGGAAAGGTGGAAAGAAAAACAACCTTTGAAAAGAAGCAAGGATTTTTCTGGGTGATAGCTCCAACTGGGCCACTTGTATGGTGAGAGAAACCAAGACAACCTCTCGATGACGTGCATTCCCCCCAATTCTTCTCTAAGTTTCTTCCAACCGTGCAGTTGGTCCAGTAAAAGATATCAGCTGCAAAAATCCTTGCCTCTCCAATATTTCCTGGGCCATCATGGCTACAACATCACTCGAACACTATCACAACTTTGAACAAGGCAATTTATCTCCATCTTCATAACATGGCAGGGTGTTAACAGTGAAATAAATAGCATATCTTTGATAGCGAATCTTTTTGCTGTCAGGTGTAAACACAGGCACTGGTGAGAGCTGCTCACATGCACGCACCCTCATCAGTCCTTTGCTAAGAAACAACATTAAAATTCATAGATGTGAACTCAAACGAGCAAAATTTGTAGCTCATTTCTAGGGCACTCACTTATGAATATATTCATCGTGGAGGATTATACAGCCCTCTCAGAGGAAATCTTTGTTTGACTTAATTCTGCTGCCTTTGAGCAAACAGGGAAAGTTCAGCAAACAACTACTCTGTCATAATATTGGTTTGTTAGAATGGGGCAAGAGACAAGAGGTACCGTCTGTGTTATCTATAGGTTAAATTGGGGTGTAGCTACAACCTCTGTGCATAAGATAATGCCTCACAAAAGCAAATTGTGATTGCAAACACTTCCCTTCCCAGTTCCAGGTACACAAAGGGTGGAGGAGCATAGGGAGGGTAGCAGGCAACAGAAGCTGCATGAGGGGCTGGAGCGAGGGCATTCACTCTCTGGAACGGCTGTACAAGATGGGCCATTTTCTGCCCTCGTCTTTGTGGCATGCAGACATCCACGTATTTACAAATAGAAACAGGAATATATGTACAGTATAGAATAATAGAAAGTTAGGGCTGGAAGGGACTTCAGGAGGTCAGCTAGTCCAGTCCACTGCTCAAATCAGAACCATCCCCAGCTAGATCATCCCGCCAAACTTTGTCTAGCCGGATTTCGAAAACCTGCAAGGATGGAGGTCCCACCACCTCTCTGGGTAACCTGTTCCAGTGCTTCACTACCCTCCTAATGAGCAATTTCTTCCTAATATCTAACCTAAACTTCCCTTGCTGCAGCTTGAGCCCATTGCTCCTTGTCCTGTCATCTGCCACCACTGAGAACAGTCCAGCTCCAACCTCTTTGCAACCCCCCTGCGGGGAGTTGAAGGCTGTTATTAAATCCCCACTCAATCTCCTCTTCTCTAGACTAAATAAGCCCACGTCCCTCAGCCTCTCCTCACAGGTCATGTCTCCCAGCCCCTGAACCATTTTTATTCCCCCCTGCTTGACTCTCTCCAATTTGTCCACCTCCTTTTTGTAGTGAGGCGCCCAAAGCTGAACACAGGACTCCAGATGTAACCTCACCAGTGCTTAATAGAGGGGAATATCACTTCCCTTGACCTACTGGCAACACTCCTACCAATGCAGGATGCGGTTAGCCCAGTATGCCATTAGCCTTCTTGGCAACAAGGGCACACTGCTGGCTCTTAGTCAGCTGATTGTTCACTGTAACCCCCAGGTCCTTTTCTGCAGAGCTGCTGCCCAGCCAGTCACCCCCAGCCTATCCCGGTGCAGGGGATTGTTCTGTCCTAAGTGCAGGACTTTGCATTTGTCCTTGTTGAACCTCATGAGATGCCTTTTGGCCCAATCCTCCAGTTTGTCTAGGTCACTCTGAATCCTAGCCCTACCCTCCAGCATATCTACTACTCACCCAGCTTGGTGTCATCTGCAAACTTGCTGTGGGTGCACTCCATCCCATCTTCCAGGTTGCTGATGAAGACACTGAACAAAAGCAGCCCCAAGACCAATCCCTGGGGCACTCCACTTGATACCACCTGCCAGCTACACATCAAGCCATTGACTATTACTCTCTGAGACTGATGCTCCAGCCAATTTTCTATCCATCTTATGGTCCATTCATCCAGCCTTAGTTTTACTGTGAGAATGTTGTGGGAGGCCGTATCAAAAAACCTGGCTAAAATCAAGGTAGACCACATCCACCGGTGTCCCCACATCCGCAGAGCGAGTCATCCCAGCCTACAAGGCAGTCAGGGTGGTCAGACATGACTTGCCCCTGGTAAACCCATGCTGACTGTTCCTAACCACCTTCTTCTCCTCCAAGTGCTTACAAATGGATCCCTTGAGGATCTGCTCCATGATTTTTTCCAGGGGCTGAGGTGAGGCTGACTGGGCTGAAGTTCTCTGGATCCTCCTTTTTCCCTTTCTTAAATATGGGCACTGTGTTTGCACTTTTCCAATCATCCAGGACCTCTCCTGATCGCCATGAGTTTTCAAAGATGATGGCCAATGGCTCCACAAGCACATCAGCCAACTCCCTCAGCACCCCTGAGTATATCCAATCCAGCTTTGTACATGTCCAGCTTTTCTAGGGAGTCCCTAACCTGTTCTTTCTCCACTGAGGGCTGCTCACCTCCTCCCCAAACTGTGCTGCCCAGTGAAATAGTCTGGGGACTGCCCTTGCCTGTGAAGACTGAGATGAAAAAGGCATTGAGCACTTCAGCCTTTTCTGCATCCTCTGTCACAAGGGTGCCTCCCCATTCAGTAAGGGACTTGCACTTTCCGTGATCCTCCTCTTGCTACTGACATACTTGTGCAACCCTTCTTGTTACCCTTCACATCCCTTGCTAGCTGCGTATTGTGTTTTGAATTATATTTGTTCCATACTAAGGGATGCTTTGCATTCTCCCATTCGTGCTGACCGTGGAGCACCTGCCTGGTTCCTTAGGCTTTATCCTATTAATTAATGTTATCATGAGAGAGTGAAGGATTAGGGTGGCTTTCCCCAGGCCTCTACCTGTAATCTGCACATCTTAAAGACAACACAAAACACCATGCAGCCCTTTGCCACCACCTTTAAAATCATAGTTGCCCTGGAAAAAACTCTCTCTCTAGAGGGACTTTTGAAAGAACTCATTATTTAATAATAATTGCTTCATGCAGTCCTGTAAACCTCAGGGAATCTGGTGCCTCTTATCAGTGCTGTTAACTGTCATGGAAAGAGCATCTCGACAAATAATCAACTCTGATCCAGTTCCACTAGGATCCAGTTGCTCCCTAAGGAAAAATAACCAAAGTTTAGTTGCCCGTTTTGCATCAGCTAGCTGGTACTGAATCACACTGAGCAGATCATAGCTACATGCAGCACTGTGGGGCAGGAGACGCGCTGCCCGTGTTATCATGGCTTGCTGCCACTGTGAAATGCTTGTACTCAGTGGTGAATGCAAGCCATCCAGGGGGAAGAGGGTTACAACACTGTGAGGAAGAAAAGTTGTAAAAGGAAAAAAATAATAGATGAAATATTAATCGTGTTTAAAGCTCAAAATGGGGGAGAGAGCTGCAAAGCACACAGGGGAGAAACAGGTCTCTAAAGGCATCCTAGATGTTGAATTCAATTTTCATTTAAAATCCTTTAAAGTCTATTTAAAATAAGCACCACCACCCTAATAGCAGTGAAGCCATTGGATATTAAATTCAAGCAGTTGTTCCTGAATGGCTTCCTAAATGTTTCTGTTGAGTATTAATCCTTTTTTGCTAATAGCTTTCTCTGTCTTGCATTATTCAACAGTATTTTACCGGACACGTTCTAGCCCCTTTCCAGGTCTAGAGATTAGATCATAATGCCAAATTCACACACAATACTTTTAACAGCTACAAATGAAACAAAGACCACGAGTGTCTTCAGGTTTCCATACAGATCGTTAAAATCAAATATTGGCTCAACTGTGCCCCGTCCTGCAGCCACCTGAAAGGATGAGGAAGAGCTACTGCTTGTCCTTCTCCTGGGGTGCAGTAATGCACAGTAGACTAATTCTACTGCTCAGGAGCACGTCGTGGCAAAAGCCATGCTAATGCACAGTAGAATTAGTCTACTGCTCATTAACATCACTAAAAGACCGTACCTGTCTTTGCAGGTACTGAACGTAACGTGCAGTAAGAACAGCGCATTAATGCATGTGTAGAGATGCCCCTTGGGCAGCCTAAGGGTTGTCCTTGCATTTGTTACAATGCAAAGTCCACTACTTGGTTGCTCCATCTCAGAGTAGCTTAATGAAGACGGTTAAGTCAGTGTATTCATGGCTCTGTCCCTCCGAAACTCATAGCTGAGCAGCTGTGTGGGTGGTGAAAGTACACTGTAATTCCCAAAGTTTTATATTAGAGTATGGGCTGAGGAAGAATGATGCCATTTTAAGGGCAGACAGGTGGGATTTACCCAGTTCAGCTGATTATAATTTTTTCTTGTAATGATACCATGTGTCTACTCTGCTATCCTGTGGTAAGTAAAGCTAGCTTAATGAAACAAGCTAAGTTACTATGATTTAATTTTCATGGCCTGTGAGATTGGAGCTGATGAATAAAATAGTTGCAACCTATCAGCTGATGTGCACTCACAAGCAATATGTCTCGTCAGCTCTACCCCCCCTTATAATGGTTTTCTTGTTTGATTGTTCACCGTCTAGTGCTAAAAGGTAGCTATTCACTGAGCAAAGTCAGGGGATACCCAGAAGTATCACAGCCTCTTGCTGTGCTGATGATGCACATTGCAGCCACGTGTGGCGCAGTTCTGGAACACCCCTAACACAGCACGGTTCAGCTGCCACGAGAGTAAATTTACACATCTGCCAAAGGAGTATGTTATATGACGCATTTCAGTTTGGTACAGGGCTTGGGGAGTTGAGATCACTCAGATCTTCAAAAGCCTCATGGGCCTTTTTTCCTACAAGCATCTCAAACTCTGTTATAACTCCGTTATATTATAATGAACAATGGTTGAAACTATTCTTCTTCATTTATTCAACACAATAACTGAGCATAACCCTTTATTGGCAAAATGTTTCCTTTAAGTCACCGTAATATTTTCTGGGGTCACTGGGTTGAAATGCTATGCAGACGCTGTGCAGCAGAGTACCTTTACTCTCATAAATACTCCTACTGATGCCAATGGGAAGACTCGCATGAGTAACACTAGGAGTTTAAATGTTTCAGGATCGGGCCCTTTGTTTGTTAACTGTAATATATTTGCTGAGATATTGTTTTTTCAACTGAAGCTGGGTGCAGCAGACCCTGCATGGAAGCAGGATGTGAGCTCCTGACGGCTGTAAGTTAAATTTGGGGCATAAAAAAGGGCTTAATTGATTCAGGATTTTTAGGGTTGCAGCCCAAGCAGCAGTGCCTGCTGCTCTCCAGCTTCTACTGAGTTGCAAATTGTGTCAATAAGATGCACCAAAGTACTTGACAAAAATAATTGTTCATCGTAGAAAATCTCTCTGAAAATGTTTCACTTTCTCACATCTCCATGCTCACACCTCACCTCACCTCTTTACCATATGCATGGCACATCTGTACAAACCTCTCTTTCCTCCCCTCATACACAGTCCCTCTTTCATGCCACTTCCTTACAGAAGACGCACCAGAGCGCCCTGCAGGTCCAGCAGAAAGCTGAAGTGCTGCTACAGGCTGGACACTACGATGCAGATGCTATCCGGGAGTGCGCTGAAAAAGTGGCACTACATTGGCAACAGCTGATGCTGAAGATGGAGGACAGGCTCAAGCTGGTCAACGCATCGGTTGCTTTTTATAAAACCTCCGAGCAGGTGAGGTGAATGATGCCTTCTCTGCGGGAATCTGCATTGTTATAACCTATGTTCTAGTGTGTGTGTTCAACTTCTAATTGAAATGAGAGGAACACAATCAGTTTCTTTTCTTCCTTCTTCAAAGAGGGAAATTCTTAAAACCTCCTTTTTTTTTAAATCTAAAAAAAATGTTATGAACTGTTTTTTCCCATTTTGTTTTTGAAGGTTTTTTGCTCCTAGTTAATGCGTGCCTTATTTTAATTAGCTTTAACCAGATAGCATGAGGCTAAAAATGTAGTGACTTCTAAAGTTACTGCTCCCAAACCAGTAGTGCAAGTCAGTGCAGGCAGCTTTAAGCATCGTACATCCCCGCTGTCTTGCCTTGCTCCAGGAGTCCACCCATTACAAAGCACAGTATGCCAGCGTCCGCGATTGTGTCACCTTCCCCAATGGCCAGATTACTTTACCCCATGCACAAACAGGTGCAAGTCCTATTAGGAATTGCACCTGCTTACCTTGGCACTGGATGTGGCTGGCATGTAGATGCTCAATGGTATTATGTGGTTTAATTTACTGCAGTTATACACTAGCATGGATATCAAATATCTTTGTGGTTGAGGTTAGAAAAGGAAACAGTGATTCACATTACAGGCTGCAGGGATATTCATACACAGTCATATATATGTGTGTGTGTGTGTGTGTGTGTGTGTATGTGTATGTGTATGTATACGTGTGTGTGTGTGTATGTGTGTACATACACACAACCATTGTGGACCATCCTGACCATTGTGGAAGTGTTTACCAAACTCTGCAGAAAACTTTTTTTCTGCATGCTGATTGATTACACAGACAACTGTGGGCCTGGTCTCCAGGCGGACTTGCTTAACTCATTTTGAACTCTGTTCAAGGCAAATGCAAACCTTGCCTTGAGTGACTAGGAAGAAGTTTAACCAGGGTCATCCCTTGTGTCCGCAGGGTTGAAAAGAATCCATTCTCCTGAAGGAAGTGGAGAAAAAGAAACTAGTGAGAGACTCATTAATGCCGCAGGCAGTAAGACATGCTACCCAAGTATTTTAGCCCATAGCTCATCAAATCTTGTATCCTCTGGTGTATTTAAGTGATCAGTGAGCATACTGCAGTGTTCACCAGTTCATTCAGTAGTCCCATGGATGTGGTGAATGTTTGGAGTAAAGATATTTCGGATGATGCTTATAAACTGTTCACTGAAAAAAATCTTTCTTCGACATGTGGGTTGTGTGACAGGTTGGTTAAGTCGCGTGATGTTTTCTCTGTTTCCTGGATGGATGAGGATGGCTTGAATAACACCCTGGGGCTTTGATTCTCCCCAAAGTCGAGTGGAGAGTCCTGCAGGGAGCTGGATTTGGAAGACAGACAAGGCGGTGGGGGGTTGTAGGGTTATAAGAAATGTTCAAACTTTTTCTCTGTCTTCCTTCCACAGAAACATTATATTGTGGGGCCACCCAGGATTTCCAGTAAATGCAGTCTCCTCTTGACTGTATTTACAGCAGACTTTATATGAATGGGTCTCTTCGTGTTAAAAAAGAGAAAAGTCATTTACATATAAAGGAGCAGTCCTATTGTGAAAGGCATGAATGCAATGCTGCCCCGCACTTTTGATTAGTTGCTTCAGTATCAATCCTCCAAAACATCTCAAAGCACTCAAGCACCCAGAAATAACCCTCAGCCTGGTTGCACGGTCTCAGTTTTGGGTTTGGCATGCATGGAGCAGAGCTGTGCTTCTCAGCAACCCCAGGAAAGTGGTGTGACATGCCCTTAGACTTCCAGTCAGTCACTGTCAACACCTACCAAGAAAAGCCCTTTCACAGACTTAAAAACACTGTCTTCATGAAAGGCTGTTTTGCACATGGTTTACATCCTGTATTGGTTTAGTGAGCTCATTTCCCTGAAAAGGTACTGAAATAAACCACACCTGCATTGGCACCTTTGCCCTGGCATACCTGCAGCTATGCTAGAGGCCTCCACCAACTTAAACTGTGTCAGGTTCAACCAGCTATTGCAAAAACCGCATCACAAAGTTCAACGTGCATCTGAAGCCAGTTAGTTTTGGTGTAAAAGACCCTGTTTCAGGACAGCATTTAAGCATGTGTTTAACTAGAAGCATGTGCTGAGCCCCTGGACCTCAATAGGATTTAAGCACCTTAAGCAAAATAGGGATCATTTCCAGGGTTATCTTCTGAGTCCAAGCAGACTCCTCTTCCAGGATAACCTGCAGGGCTTCGCCTGGATTATTGCTAGGGAGGGAAGTAGTGTTTGTGCCCTACAACAAGATGAATCAGAAGGCCTGACCACAAACTATAGAGAGCCCTTAGCCAAAGAACTGGTGATAATGCCCTCTGCCCAAAAGTGCTTGGCAGCTGAGTGCCTTGGCTGTTGTGGACAAAGTTCTCAAATGCCTGCGTGTGAAACATTTTTGGCCATGCCCGTGGTGGGGCTAGGCAGCAAGGAGCTGCACTTGAGCAGGGCCGCTGGAAGCTGTGCTTGTATGACTGCGGCTTCTCCCCTGCTCTCTGGTTGCACTGGGGGGCACGGTTTCCAGCCCGTGGGGAACTGGGCCAGAGCTGGGCAGCTTCCAGCTGTGCTCACACCGCAGCTGGGGTGTGGGGAGCAGGGGGGGAGAAGAGGCCACAATGCAGACACAGCTTCCAGCTCCCCAGTGCAGCTCCCCACTAGCTAGAAGCTGCAGCCAGAGATCAGGGGGAGGGACAACCAGTGGTAGCAGCATGCTGTTTCCAGCTGTTTGGCCTGGCACAGCTTCGCAGGGGCTAGAAGCTGTGCCCATACTGCAGCCGGGGAATGAGAGGCTGGGGAAAAGCAGCGGCAGCTGCACGGGTGCAGTTCCCAGCTGCCCGGTCAGTGCATGCATCATTGCATTGAAGCTACCCAGCCCACACCAGACTGGACTGGGGTTGTTCCAGCCTGAGGCTGCCGGCCCTAGAATAGGTTACTTTGGGTCTAACGGATCTTCTTCATCCTGACAAATGGATCAGGATCGGAGTAACTGAGATGCTGTGTTCTGGGTTGTGGTTCAGGTCTGCAGCGTCCTGGAGAGTCTGGAGCAGGAGTACAGACGGGACGAAGACTGGTGCGGCGGCCGGGACAAGCTGGGGCCGGCGGCTGAGATTGACCACGTCATCCCGCTGATCAGCAAACATCTGGAACAGAAGGAAGCTTTTCTCAAGGTCTGATCTTCCTTCTTTACTTGTTCAGAAACTTCTGGGCGAGGAAAACAGTTTATTTATGTTCTGGACAATTTATGGCCTGGAAGGCAGAGAGATTTAGAGTAAGTTTTGTGAGCTTTTAATCTGAGCTCTGCTCCTGACTCACAGTGTAAACTTTGGACAAGTTTCCCACCTCTGTAATAGAGATGGTAGTGCTTATCTTAGATATGTGTTGTGAGGATTAATTAGGCAATGTTTGTGTTACACTTGGAGCATGTTGATTGCTTCACAAGTGCCGACTGTTTATCCTCAAACAGAATTACGAAAATTAAGGAAAAACAGAGCACAAAGCATTTTTACATTTCCTTGTTTCAAACCTTTACCACGTAAATTCCACTCTCGGACCTAGCAGCTAATGAGCTAAAGATAGATGAAGTAATTCTGCCTCCTCTAGGCAGCATGTGAATGGCTCCTGAGCTTCCCACCTGCCATCCAGGTGTTGCTTTTTTGAGCTGCTGGGCAAACAGGTCTGGATGTCAAAGAGCTAGCATCCTGCCACCCATTACATGGATGCAAAACTACTCACACAGGACACTCTTAAAAAGAGAAATGCATGGATCTCACATTGCCAACAACAAGCAAATTTCATGGGAAGTTAATTGGTTTTAGCTTACAGTGTATTTTTTTTGAACCAGCCCTTGCACATCTTCATCATTAAATTGCTTCAAGATATAAAATCAGTATAGTAGCTAAGTGTTTTAGTACATTAGGACAGGGGTTGTCAACTGGGGGTACTTGGGAAGGTCCCAGAGGGTATGCGCGGGGGGGCAGGGATGGAGCATCGCCCCGTGCTGCCGCCTCCCAGCAGCAGGGCCCGGCAGGGGTGAGAGCAATAGCACCCCTCTGCGGGCCACGCAAGTGCCACCCAGCTGGTCGGATGCGGCGGGGGGGGAGCTCACTCATGGTGGTCAGTGCTGCCACCCACCACCCCACTGCCGCTGCTCCATGTCCGGCTGCATGCCACCCCCTTCCCACCCCCCAGCCGCCGGGGGTACACCTATTAAAAAAAGGTTAAAAACCCCTGGTTTAGGAAGTCCCATCCCCAAGGCTAATAATTCATTAGCTGCTGGATTTGAGACGTGACGTCAGCTGAAGCTCTCCTGAGTACTTGTATCCATAAGGACTTCCTTGTGCAGAACAAGTGAAGAGCTTGCCCTTCACAGGCTCCATTTGGTTTGCTTTATATGTTCACTGGTAACAGGGTATTGCTTTTCTTAGGCCTGCACATTAGCACGAAGGAACGCTGAAGTATTCCTCAAGTACATTCACAGGAACAATGTCAGCATGCCTGGAGTAGCAAGCCATACCAGGGGGCCTGAGCAGCAAGTGAAAGGTCAGTGCATTGATGCAAGGATAACAGCAAGGATTTTTGTTTTCCTCTTGGCTTCCTGAATGTCAGGGAAAGGAACAACCATCTTTGTAAAACTTCCAGGTATACTGACCCCCCTCCAGAGCTGAAACAGCAGCCGTTATCAATATCTTTAATTGGAACGCTGTAGGACATTTGAAAAGGAGGCCTTGTTGCTTGTGCAAAAGGAAGGAAGGGAAGGGGCCTTCAAACACCGGCACTCTGTAGTTTCTCTTGTCTGTTAAAATATCACAGAACAATCCCATGGTCTCTGTTCTGCAAGAAGTCAGACAGGGTGATGGTAAGGGATGTCTTCCTGCCTTTAAAACATCCACATGAATATGTACAAACAGGTACAAATCAAATGCAAGATCCCATCGTACACCTGTCCAGCCAAGAAGAGCAGGAAATCAAAACTAGGATGTGCTTGTCACTGGAATGCAATTCAGATCAATTTGTGCTTTGTTCTCTAAGTCATACTGCTATGTCAGGCAGCATCCAACAGAACCGTCCTTCACTAGGGTTTTTCATTTGGTTGAAAGCATTTTGTTTGCAGCAAGATGATACATTTGAGGGTTTTGGCTCCATTTCCACTCCTCCCTGCTGCTTAATCGAACGGTCGCTAATCTGTGCCCAGCAATCCTGCAAGGCTCTGATAAAAACATGCTACCGTGAGTCTGCAGAACTAAGTCTTTTTATTATTATTCTTGGCTTACTTGTACAGCTGTAGAGAGGACAGATTAATGGTGATGCCATCATTATATAGTGTTGGTACCACGAACACAGGAGCATGGGTTAGTTGCATTCAGTAAAAGGATGAAAATGCTTCAGAACGAACAAAAGGGTCTTTTGTTCCCCTTTCTGCTCGTATCAGTTTTCTCAGTTTCAATCTTATCTTTGTCAGTATTATTTAATATTGTTCACTAACGTGTCAGATCAGTTTCATTGTCACTTTTCTTTTCTGCCTCTGTTAAAAAGGATGGACAAAGCCATTCAAACTGGCTTCAGCTTGGTATTTAAACACATACGTTACTATATTAACTTGCAAGTGGTGCTTATTGACTTCAGAGAGGCACATTTAAGGTTCAGCTCAGACTTTCCCTTACTGAATCATGGCTTTAGTTCTCAATCCGGTCTTATCTGTGCAGGGAAATTGGTTGAAGAATAATCTATTCTAGCGTATCTATCTGTTTGAACACTCTATTTGTGAAGAAAAGCCACTTTCTTTTGGAATAATTATTGCACTTCCAAAGCAGAGAAATGATTTTGCAGTGAATCAGTTTTATTCTGGAATAGAGTATCTACACAGGGAGCTAACCTAGATGTCCCTTGTGGAAATCTGCTCAATTTTGCCTATAGATGAGCCCTCAGACAAAATTTCCATTGCCTGCAATAGGAATTTTACCTATGCAAGGAGAGGAGATTTTTGCTAATAAAATGTTAAGAATAATAGAATTATTCTATAGTAGAAAATGACAGACTCCTGAACAGGGCTGGAAATCATGGTATCTACTAAAATTGCAACCCATAAGATAACTCCCAGTGCATAAAAAAGTAAAGCTTCAGGTCCTCAGCTGCTGAAAACCAGTATAGCTCCATTGCAGCTAGTTTGGAATCTGGCCCCACATCTCTTCTTTTCAATTAGCGTGGATGGTATATTTGCTACATATAATATCCCTTCTAGCAGATGGTCCACACAGAAGTTAAAAGATTAGAACTGTTGTTAGCTAAATCCAGCTATGGACAGACATTACGGGCTCCTACACACGTGTGGGAGCCTGCTCTGATGCACTGGAAATCCAGCGCGTTGGAGCAGACTCGATTAAACGAGTCTGCCAGAGCACGAAAATCAAAGCGCTTCGGCAGCCATGCATGTCACGTGTATCAACATCAGCACACGTCTCAGCGCTGAGAAAATGGTTGTGGCATGCTTTGAAATAAAACATGTCTGATG